ATTATTGAAGATTAAACTATTGTTATTTAACTTTCTAAAATTTAGTTTATTGTACTTATTGGATTTATTGTATTTTTTGTTATAAATTTATTTTTTGTAATGATGTATTGTCACTATAATTTATTGATTAATATTTATTAGAGATTAAACTATTATTGGAGATTACACATTTTATTGATTAGTGTGATATATTCTCAGTATTTATTGCACTTTTGTAATTATTGTATTTATTATTTTTTTATTAGTTATTATTGTGATTTCATTATAAATTTATTTACAATAATTTTTTGCTATAAATTTTCAATAATTATTGGAGATTTAAATATTGTTATTTATTAGAGATTAGACTATTGATTTAGTTGAAAATAATTTTTTTTATTTATGTATTATACACAAAATATTATAAGTATTATATAAAACATAAATAATTATTAATTATTTAAAATGTTAAAATATAAAAAATTCCCCATTTGTATGTGTTTTATTGTTTAACATTCGCTTAACAAAGCCCATGCATCGCATGGGTCCCTACTAGTTATTTATGTAAATAACAACTTAAAACTTGATTTTATATAATATAACCTTGATAAAAATATGAAGTAGATACTTATTTATATGTTTAATAAATTAAGTGTTTCTAACCAAAAGTTATCTTATATATTATCTATCTAGTTTATCCTTTCAAACACAAAATATAATAAAAAGTATAAGAAAAAACGAAATCCTAATCCTTTATATATTATTAGCAAAATAACTGATTTGGGTTTGATTTGATTTAACAAGCAAGAACAAAAATAAACCCAACATTTAATCAAGACAAAATCACATAATGAAACTTAACAGAAATGGTACACACAATGGTGGAGTTTTCCACCATTGTCAGTTAGGTAAGCAGAACTGATCCATTGACATCTTTAAGGCTCTTTATCTGGGTTTTGATTGGTATAAGATCAATCTTTGGGGCATTAATAAGTGGATTAATGTGTGGAGTTTTCCTAAGATGAAAAAATCTTACTGATGACAAATTAGTTTCCGATAAAAGACTTAAATATACCTTGAGTTTTCTTAAATTGACTTAAATGAATCTTGAGTTTTTTTCAAAAAGACTTAAATATACCTTATGACTCTTACCCTAAATTTTTCAAGCTCATGCATGGTGGACTTGTTGTAAATCTCTCTCTCTCTCTCTCTCCTTTGTAAGGCCAATCTATTGGGTAAGCTATTCAATTCAGAGGTTCCAACCATGTTCATCTCATCATGCCATCATGATTATGTAAGGCCAACCTATTAGGGAAGTTATATTGATCTAATCTCTGCACAGTATTATGAAATTGGGCATCCATTTAGGTGTATAGCTTCTCCAATGCTGAAATTCAATGAAAAAACTAGTTACAACTTGATTTTTTGCCAAGCTTTCTCAAGGTCTATGAATTTAGAAAGCATTGCAGCATTTTTTTAAGAAAAAAACTAGTTAAGCACCTTTTACCATGTTTCCTTTGTTAGACAATGTATGCCCTTAAATCCAATCAGATTGGTGTACACAAACATTTATTAGTAAATGAATAAAATACATTATTGTTTTATATTTGAATTGTTGTGTTTCTATGAATTACTCTTTAAATTAGACAATTATGAGACTCGTGTTAGTTTAGAATGTTCTCAACCATTGAATAGACTTAGAGAATTTATATTGACAATATTAACATTGGTATGTTGTCGAACTAGTGGAGCAACTTGCCTCAACTACTAGGGTTAAACCTCAAGCACAACCAGTGGGTGATTAGAAGAAACACTAAACTTGGACCTTGGAGATAGATGGACAAAACTGGAAAGTTTCACTTAACCCCAAACTTGATTATGATATTGCACTAGGTTTTTGGATTGAACTGTATTTGATGTGCCAACTAGTGAGATCCATCAAGGGTTAAATATCTAGGCATGTTGGGGTAGTTTAAGAAATTACTTGAGTGGGTGATCGTAGTGATAAGATCGGCCCCTTGGTTAGACAAAATGAATATTTAAGGTTTATACTCTTTCTGATGGAAACCTACACTACCAATAGTGGATTTCAACCATATTTCAAATCTAATTTACAAAATGTATTTATAGCTATACTACTATTGTATGCAAAAGGTTTCTAATCCCGGGATCCATCTAAGTAGAGAGTGTGACACTGCATTTTGTAGTTAGGTAATTATGGGCTGAAAGGTTAGGTGTAAAAGATTGTTACAGGGTAAATTACTTGATGGACTTTATCTTACATAAGTCTATTGTTCTTAGGTTTTCATAAGGTGGCTGAATCCAATGATCATTTATGTGTAAATGTTTGACTCAAATTGAGCCCAAGTTGATTAAGTCAAGGGTTCATTGTCCTTGAATAGTGAATTCAGCTTAACCTCTTCCAGAGCTAGGGCCAAACCCTTATGAACTTATGGGAAATTTTTGTGGGTCCTATGTCAAACAATATTCAAGCCCAAAGTGGCCATGTGACACTTTGGGACAACTTAAGTTGTCATGTGATTTGGGTTGAAAATGATCATGGATTTGGGTGTGAAGCACCCATTCTCTTAAGAAGATAATGCTTATCAATTAAAGACAAAGTACTAATACAAATTTGATTTGGATCAGCTCCTAATTAGATTATGAGAGTGCTCTATATAAGGAATTGAGAAGGGGGGGGGGGCAAATTTACTAGTTCTCTCCAATCTCTTGCTATCTTCTCTTCTCCCTTGCCTCCTAGAAAGCCCAATTCTACCCAGTTATGATAGGGATTGATTTCCATTAGTCCTCTAATGTGTTTTTGCAAGAAAGATATAAGAGGATATCAGGTTCACCTACCCACTTCGATCCAAGCAAGTTGGAGACCGATTTTGCTGAAATGGTGTTATTGAATTGATTTCTTATACATACTGCACCATTTTCAGTTGAAGGCCAATTTTGGGACTGATATTGGGCATGAACTACCACTCTAGGAGCTGCATATTGTAGTCTCTGTATCAAGTATAATCAATTTTTAATTTGGTTTCAAATCTGGTTCGCTTCAATGCAAGATCAATCCTGAAATTTCAGATTTCAAAATCACTAGGAAATCAGTTTCCGGGTGGGGTTAGAAAAATTTTAAAAATTCAACTAACCACTAAACCTGGTTTGATCATGCTTAATCTGATTTCTAACCCTTCAACATCCTTTATATTTGCAAGTTTTTCTATTTTTTGGCCTAACTTTCTTCTTCCACTTCATTTCTCTTTCTTTCCTTCCTACCTAGAAAGGCAAAATAGTATTTTAGAAAATTTAATTGAATTATTTATTGATGGACGGTATATTTTAGTCCAATGGGTCAACCTACAAGGTATATTTAAATCTATTTAAAAATCTCAAGTACATTTAAGCCAATGTATAAAAACTCTAATGTATGTTTAAGCCTTTTACCAATTAGTTTAAAGATCAAAAAAAGGCTTTAAGTTCTTTTCCCCATCCACACTTCAAACTAGAGAATGACCCTCATACTAAGTACAGGGCCAATATTCTAATATTTTAATTTTTATTTATGTATTCTAATAAATCTTGTTTAACACCCATTTTATATGTTGTAAGTTTAGGTTATTATTTTATTTAATATTTTATGAATAAATTTGTTATTCAAAATGATTTGTTTTTTAGTGGTAGTAATTACACAACTTTTTTGAGAGTGGAGGTAATTATCATGGGTAGACACACATCCAATAAAGGAATTACCACTTTTGATATGCTCTTTCTTGAGAAAATAAGATGGTACTTGTTTGAAGAAAAAGCTCTCTAGCTTGAGGGTTTTCCTTCTAGATTTTGGAAAAATCTATGATGCCGAAAAGACATGATATTAGAAGAGTTTTAACCAATCAAAATCCACCTATAAATTTTGATAAATACCACCTAATTGATTACCATATTTATGATACCTGTTGATTGGTCACAAATTTTTCGGATAACATGTCTTTTCGGTATATAAATGACCAACTTAAGATTAAACATGGTTGACCTAACATGAAAAATGCAACTAATCTAGTGGATCCCTTATCTGTTGAAGGATTTAAATATGCCTCAAGATCCCTCTACATAGCAGAAGTGTGTGGGTTCGCATAAGAGTTTTCTACTTAATCTGATTAATGAACCTTCATATAAGACCATCAATCGGATAGAAACTGGACAGAAAATGAAGGTTCAAAGAACTGGACTAGGCATAGAATTGAAAATAGGAGAAATTCACAGGTCAAGGTTCAAAGTAAATGACCATGGTTCAACTGTTACCATTAACATTTTGAAACTCCATTCATTTGGTGACTTGGCGGTTGTATATATATATATATATATCAATAGGTTTATTATAATCGGGTCCATCGGGTCAAATCTGATTGTCCCAAGAGCCAATCAGTTCAGTTTTTGGTCTAAAATTACAGATCCTACCGGGCCTGATTCGATTCTGGGTCCTTAGTAATTCTTACCTGGTTGGTTCCAGTTCTACCCAGACCCGACCCATCGACAGCCCTTACTTCTTAACATATGACTAAACCGGCTATGGCCCTAACTCACAGTTCAACCGATCCAACCAGCCGATCTGATCTGGTTTCTAAACAGTGAAACCACAAGATATATTAGCCCTGTACCCACCTTGTATTGGTGGCTTTCACAACTAATTTTAGCCCTCCAAAGTCCTAACTTTTAATGTAAAATTTACTCGACAAAGCTTATTTTGCACACATGTTAAGGTGTTTTCTGAGAAAATCTTTTCCGTCAATAGAGAGTGGGTTGAAGAATTTAGAGACTCCTTTTTTAAGCTTTAAAGTTGCCAAATGCAAATTTCCCTGCCACTTGTAAGATTCCTTAATTGTTTATGACATCCTGGTAAACGACTCAAGTATAAACCTTGCCACATGTCTACTATAAGCCCCTCTTTGCTAGCAAAATTTGTTTTTAAAGTTAAAACTTTCAGTTAGAGAAATCACCAATACAAGGAGGGGTATTAGTCTGATGTGGACTGAGATTATTAAATATGTGACCAATCCAAAGTATATAGAGGACAGTTTCAAACAGCCACACCATTCCTTAACATGACCAGAGATGGTGAGCCTTTCATTCCCAAATTCCTTTGACTCAAAATTCTTCACAACAGAATGTGGCAAATGACTGAATTTTCACTTTGTTTTTTAGTCAGAGAATATCAGCAAAGCTAATTTTACAGTACCCTACCTGAGGCTATCTATTCTCAGAATCATTCCCCCGTGTAATCCTTCTGGTCAAGATGCACCCAGGGAACAAGCCTCCTAGTTCAGATCGATGGTGTATAATCAGTTGACCAATCACAACCCCCCAGATCATCCACATTCACCTAAATGTTCACTCTGTTTGACTTTGATCTTCAACCAAGTTGGTAATGGTGTCAAGGTTTGGATCCATTCAAGCCAAGCTGTCAAACTCCTTCATGGTGAAAGAATCGGATAGATTGACAAGGTGTTCATTAGATCAGCTCAGACCTGATTGCATCATAAAAAAGGCCCAATTGTTACAGGGTCCAGCCTCCTTTTTATTAACCCACCATTCAGAGCTTACGGTGGGCTTATCAGTTGCACCTCCATCGGTATTATCAAATTTGAATTCTTTTACTGAACCAAGCGTGAGAGAAGGATTCTTCTGATGATGATGAAGCTGCCCCTTTCCATCCTCCATGGATTTCTGGGGCTTGTTGCTTGATGTTTCCCCATCATGACACTCAATGCTATTCTCTGTTTCACTTGAAACCATATCCGTTCTAGTTGTTGGTACAGTTACTGTTTCTTTATCTACCAGTGATTCTGACAGGTATTCAATGGTAGACACGTTTTCCAAACAGCTTGAAACCTCTCCGGGGGGGAGCTCAAACGAGACTCTGTGACTGATCATAATGTCACCATTTTGTGACCCAGTGTCTGAGTTTACAAGAGATGCAACCCCTGACATTTTATCCAGTAGGAAGTTGTCTTGAGAGACCAGTCCTACAGCATCTGGTGTCAATGACCCAGAACCTTGTCCTGGTGCCCACTTACGCATAGAAAGCCGATCAATGCTCATGAGTTCTGGTGGGTTGCTGGCACAGAACTCGAGAAAAGAATGTTCACCAGAAATGAATTCACGATCTGGGAAAGGAGAGGATGTGCCGGAACCTGAGATTGCCGAGCTTGGCGATATGAGGTGGCCAATTGGGCTTCCAGGGTACAGTTGATACGATTGAAACTCATAGTGGGATACTGGGAAATTTTGACAGGCTTCACTTGTTCTGTGGTTTGGGTCCAGTGATGATGTAAGGAGTTGAGCAAATGGAACCTCTGGTGATGAAGGTGTAGTCAGCTGCACAGGTTCAGGAGGAGGAGTAAAGGGAGCAGTAGATGGTTCTGTTGTGAAGGTTGAGAATACAGGGGGTGAGACCAACTGAGTCTCATGTGCATATGGTCCAATAGCAAAAATAGAATGAGGTCCACCTGGAGAGTAGACATCAGCAGAAAACGAGGTGAAGGATAGAAATCCAGCAGGTGATTGAGTGGCAGATGGAGGTTCTGATTGAAGGAAGGAAACAGGAGAAGAGGGAGGAGCAACAAATGGCAGTACTATGGTTGATGAGTGGATTTGATTTTCAGCTCCGGGAGCTGCAGTTCCTGGGATTGTTGGTTCAGGAACAAGGACAGCATGGCTAATTCGTTTCCCGTGTCGATGAGACCCAAAACACCAGTATAAACTCCACCAGCTTCCCCATCTTCTTTTCTGCATGTGAGGTAACATTTAAGTGAAGCTCAAAATAGGAAACAATAATGGGTTTCTTCTGTAGCTAACAAAAAATACATGTAATAGAGAAGGTACTAGGATAACAGGGGATAAGCTTTACTTTGAACATTATCCCAAGGACAAAAATAAGAAAGCTAAAGCCATGTATATATGTAATTAACTCATCCTTAATTCCAACTATTTGGATCAGCTACATGTATCTGACTTGCCATTGTGCCCCATCAAGAGCCATGTTTTCTATCAAATTGCGAGTCCTTAAATAATTTTTTACCACTTCAGACAATGTTTTCTTTGGTTTTCCCTTGCTATATTAGAGCCTTCCACTATTATAAAACCATTTAGTGATGTAAGATGGAAAATGAAAATTTCATCAATCCTGGCACAACCCATTTGTCATATTAACACACGAAAGATACATAATTCAACAACAACCAAATCCCAAGTAATATTTCACCAAAGAAAGAAGCTTTTTATTCTAACATAGAAAGGCACCAAGAAGGGTTCCTCCAAAATAAAGTATCTATTATGGAACCGAAAATCAAAGGTCTACAAGAAAAGTGACAAAGATCACCACAAAAAGCTTACAACAGTGATAACAAAGATTTCCTCAGCCACTCTATTTCATATTCAACCAACGCAATCCATAAGCTGTAATCAATTATATCATTCCTACACCTGTTAAATTAGCTTAACTTTTGTTTGAAAGGTCACCATCTCCAAAGATTACTCTGTCATTTTTAAGTGAACAAATATTTTCTAATGCATAAAAGTCATACTTCCCTGCATTCTATCAATCACAATTTTGGACATCTCCGGCACTAGAACTCAACCATACTAGAAAACCCTGCATCAAGAAGCTATCTCAACTTCAGCTGTTTCATATTCTATCTTTCACATCATCAAATTCTTCTACATCTTGCCACCTCCATTGTGCATAACAATGACGTTCCCATTCTAGGCACTTGATTGAAGGGAGATACTAATAAACAATGACTTCTGATGAAGAGGATATTTAGACAGATGTCTTCACTTAAGAACCTGGAAACATAACCATAAGCAAACTGATAGGGAGTTCCTGGGGTACCCGAGTCTGACATTCCAACATGATAACTGAAGCTCATTTATGTATTTGACCAATTTATATTAAGCCAAAATGCACTTAACACAAGTTGCATATAGCCTTTTAAGTTTACTAACATGTCATCCACTCTTCAAATAGGAGTGGATCCATTCATTTTGGCAGTCTCTGGGTTAAGAAACTTAGACAAGAGAAAAAACAAATAGGAGTAAAATCACACTGCTATTGAATGTGGAAAAAGACAATAACTAACACACTGCATCATCAGGTACCTGTGAAAGGAAAATCATTTCATGGATAACTATGACCCATATTTACTAAATATTTTTAGAACTCCCCCCTAATCTAAATTCTAAAGTTCACAAACTTGCAAGTGACTTTTAAATGCAGGTGTCAAGTGATTGCAAACACGAATTCACAGTAATCCAACTACGACAGGGAAGAAAACCCCACAAGTACCTCACAGATTCTCTGTAGTAGCGCATAACAGGTTAAAACTTCTGTTCTCTACCTACAACAATGGCTTCTTATTATATTATAGTTTCAATTTTATGTAAAACTATCTTGATAACTCTTCTAAAGTTACCAAGGCTCAGCTCGCAAATACCAACTGCAGAAGATCTAAATCTAGTAAAACTAGTTTTGTAATTTCTGAAATCAAGGCAAGTTTTAAGTCTTACAAAGAACTAAAGAAATTGAGAGTGAAAATGCAACGAAAACACAGAAACTGGTAAAGGAAGATTCCAAATTAATTACCAAATTCAATTCAAGAGAATTCTCCTTTTCACCTCCAAATTAGAACCCAAATTCTCAAACGAAAATGCAGAAGAAAATCAAATAACGAAAACAAGCTTAAGTAATTCAACAGATCTCGAGCCTGGGAAGCAAATCACAAAGTTCAAGAATTTAAATTCAAAGAACTCAACAAAAAATATTATTAATTAGAAACCGAAACAAGCACATAGTATTATAATCAGTCAAGAAATTTTACCTGAACTGTAGCTGGCTGAACTCGAGCATCAGCGGTGACGATCGCAGACGCAGCAGCACTTATAGTGTCCATGGTGTTATTGACGCCTCTCATGTCTCCTCTCGTCGATCAGAATCACCCTAATTTTATCCAAAAGCAATGGTTCTTCCCTCGCCAATAATGACCCTAAATCCAGCTACCCTGGTTCGTACTTACGATTCCGGTAAAACCATAACTTTCAGATCAAGAAAGAACTCAATCACCGTAATCCGAATTTCGTACTAAAACCAACAAAAGATAAAAAGAGAGAGAGGGGGGAGAGTAGAGGAGAAGAGAAACAAGCAAGGAACGTTAATCCATAAAAAACCAGAAAATATCAAAGCAATCTCGGTCTTGACTCGTGGATGTCAAACACGCAATAACTTGGATTTGCAATTAACTATTGAGCTGAAAAGCGGATTTACAGAAAAAGCCCTTCATTAGACTCCTAATTTCTTGCTGCAGAGTGTAACATGCCGAATTCACAAAGGTATTCTTAACAGAAATTTCAGTAATAATTAACAACAACCCTGAGGCCAATTTTATCAACCAAATGTAGGTTGATTTGGATTGGAGAAGTTTTCCACATACCATACCAGAACTCCATCTCCATCCTCGTCGCTGCCTTTTCCTTTTGTCAAATGCGCGTGCACGTGTGTTGATGCAACGGATGAACCCTCGTGCACACCCTCTTTATTATTATTATTATTAATTAACTCCCACGGTTGCTTTGATTCACCTCTTGGTTCTTCTCTCTCCTCTCTCTTTGATTTGTCCACAGCTATCTCTCTCTCTCCTCTTTCACTTTTTAACTATTGATTGCATATCCATCTGTCTATCATCAGATTTTCACTCGCTTTCTTGGCTTCTAAAGCTGGAGGCCGTAGCCCGTAGCGACGGAAAGAGAAAAGAAAAAAAAAAGGGGGTCTTGAAAGTTTTGAAACCCTAAATCTTTTTTCTGTTGGTGACGGTCCACGTGGCAAAGAGCCGGAGTTTTCACGCACTGCCCACTCTGGGAACCGGGTTAGTGGGTCCCACCGAACACATCCCTCACCAGCACACCACATGTTAAAAGTCGTTGAGTGGGTGGTGGTTCCATCTGAAAAAGAAGAGGATGGATGAACACATTTATTATTTTTCTCTCGGAGCTTCTTCTTCATTCATGTTGACTTCTGTCAATGGGCCCGATTCTGGTCCAATCCGGATATGGGTCCAAGTCCAATTTCATTGAACCCAGTCCATTTATAATAACTTTGGAGAGTCTTTTTGAACTTCAAACCACCAACTTGCCACGTGGAAGATCTCGGGGCGCTGTTCATGGACTAAAGTTTAGCTCAAAACGTCTGCCACATGTTTGGAGAAATGCCGCATCTAGAAAGATTCATGGTTGTAACTTGTAAGTAGACCTGGGCCGGGCTTTTACTATTCATTAACAGAAATATGTTAGGCCCGAGTCCGAGCCCGGCTCGACCAACGGGCCTACAATTTGGGCCCGAGCCCGGCCCGACCAACGGGCCTACAACTTGGGCCCGAGCCCGGCCCTAATAAAAAGCCCGAAGCCCGAGCCCAAGCCTGAAGCCCGACCTAATAAAAAAAATTAGAAATTTTCTCTATTCAATAATCAATATAAATCAGAATTTATTTACATTAAAAAAGAATATAAATTCAGTATAAATTCTGAATTCAATAATCAATATAAATCAGAATTTATTTACATTAAAAAAATATATAAATTCAAAATTTATTTATATTAAAAAATATATATAAAGGGAAAGAGGGTGTGGAGAAGAAGAATTTGGTTGGAAAAAGAAGGGAAAGAGGTAAAAAAAAGAGGGGTATTCWACTAGGTTTTCTAGGTTTATTTATAGGTCGGGCCGGCTCGGGCTCGGGCCGGGCTATTTTGGTAAATCCCGAGCCCGACTCGAATTTATTGCGGATCGGGCTTTTTAACCCGAGGTTAAGTCCGCGGGCCTATATACCTGTTCAAGCCCGTTCGGGGACTGGGCCGGGCCGGGCCGGCCCGTCGGGCCACCCGGCCCATGAACAAGTCTACTTGTAAGGATACAGGACTACTATTCCATGTGACGGTGAAAGTAATAGTTTGGATTGACTAGGGACTAGGTAGCTCCTCTCTTATTAATGCAGTAAATATTGATGTTTGGCAGATAAGTTATAATTCGTTTTATCAAGTTTGGCCGTTTGGATCTAGGGGTGAGCATGGTCGGTTTGATTTGGTTTTTTGATAAAATTTGGAATCTACCTTGTAGGGGTCAGTTCCAAGTAGGGATGTAAATGAATTGAATTTGAATCGAATAAGATAATATCTAAATTTGAATCCGATTAAAAAGAATCTGATATTCGAATTCGATTCGATTCAAATTCAACCAATTAATTATTTTATCTAATTAATAAATATATAAAAATATTTTATTTATTTAAAGTATTTAAATATATATAAATTATTTATATAATTTAATTATATATATATTATACAAAACATTTAAATATTTTATATTATATATAGGAATTAAATAATCGATCGAATTCAGATATTTATTAAATCAAATCAGGTCAAATCCAAATTCGAATCCGATTAGCTATTCTATATGAATAGGATATCCGAATTTGACCGGTTAGATATTTGAATTATCCGAATTTAATTCGATTATGTCAAATCTCGAATTCAAAATCGGATTTCTGAATACCATTGACACCCCTAGTTCTAGGTTTTTGGAACCGGAACCTTCCCTATGAAGATCAGTTCCAAGATCAGTTCTAGCCTTGGTAGTTTCGGAGTCTACTTGTAGAACTTGTTCTTTCTTTACTCTCCCCCTTTAAAAAATAAAATAAAATAAAACATATCCTTCAAAAACTTGGTTTTCAATAATGATATATATATATATATAGCTTAAAACTTATATTATCTTTATTCATTAAATTGAAAAATTTAATACAGAAATTATCATAATATATTAATATATGGTTGAAAATTTATCATTATAATTTAAATATTGTAAATATTACCTTTTACATTATTTATCATATACATACAAATATTAAAATAAAAACAAATGATCTAATCACTTAAGTAAATCGATGGTTAAGTGACACCATGACTTTTGTAAGCACGAGTATTTGCCTCAAATCTTCACATCCTTAAAAATATTTTGGGGTTTTTTTTTCAAGATAAATTTGGTTTCAAGGCTAATTTGGGTAGGGTAAATCCCTAGCTAGACCCTGGGATCGACCTGGATGGGAATCGATTCCAAGAATTTAGAAGTAGACCCTAGCCTATAACAGATAACAAATGGAATAGGACTGATTCAAGGCACATCCAGCCCATTACTAAACCCATCATGCATCAACACTACACTGGGTCAAGTTGGTCATAAGGCATATCCCTTACAATGAAGAAGAGTGGAGCCCGGAGCTATTGCTAATCACGATCATGTAACATGAAGAGCAGCAGTCAGCAGAGGCTGTTGGTTCAAAGTTCAAACTGTAGATAGGCAGGCTCTCCACGTTGTGTCAGTGGGCTCTGCATCTGCTCACTCTGCCACCAATTAATCCCACTAAGGTTGAGAAAGTGAATGAATCTGCTTAATTTCATCCTCCCCACCTCCTTTTCCAGGTTTGCCTACCAAAAGTGCAAGAGTTGGAAATTTTCAGAGGACGAAGCCTGAGTACTGCCTGAGGGTTTCAGCTCAGTACAGGAAAAATCTTCAAACCGGGTACTGAGAGAGTTCAGACTTCTTACTCCTACAACTACAAGATGTACGTTTTGTCACGTTTTTCTTCTTCCGAGAAGAATTCAAACACCAACTGTTTGAAGGTTGAATGTTTGTGAGAATTGTGGGGATGGGCTGTAAGCAGTCAAGAAGCATGGCTGCCTGCAGTCGGAAGGCTGTCCATGTCAGACTCGTTCAACCCGTTATATTGGGCTGGCTTTGGGCCGTGAAGAATGGCACATGTCTTTGGCCTTATAGTAACTTTTGTCCAACTCCTCTTACATTATTGATTTAGTTACGATGAGACATCGATTGGTCACGTAACCAAGTGGCATGTGCAATATATGCAAAATGACAAAAAGGATAATTAATGGAATGAAATTTTATATTTTCAAAATAAACATAGAAATGAAATATTTTTCATCTAAGTGGTAGGTAAGTAGTTCAACCATTTGGGTCAAATGGATAATTCCATGATATCATAAATAAATAATACAAATTAATTTAGAAATATAAAAAATACTTTGCTTATCATCATTAAATTCCACTAATAAATCCATACATAATTATTATTAATAGAATGAAATTCTGTATTTTTAAAATAAACCTAGAAATGAAATCATATTTTCCATCTAGGTTGTGGGTAAGTACTTCAACGATTTAGGTCAAATGGATAATTTCATGATGTCATAAATAAATAATACAAATTTAGAAATATAAAAAAAAGATTTTGAAAAAAAATTAGACACGCTTCTATTCTTATATATTTGTCATATTAAAAAATAACTATGATAAAATAGACATAATTTTATTAATGATGAACATCAAATATACAACTTAAAACCGATGGGAAATTAAACTATCTTCCTATCTAGGGGTGGGTTAGTGATTCAACCTTTCGGGTCAAATAGGTTAACCAATGATGTATAATTAAAAGTAATTTTTTTTAAATAGAATAGTACAAAAAAATATGAAACAATTTAGGGCATATCTATAATATTATATACTAATAATATAAACAAAAATAAGTATGATAAATAATAATTATTTTATCAATGATATAAATGAAATGCACAATTTAAAACCACTTTGAAAATGAAATAATTTCCATATATAGATGGTAAGTAGGTCAATGATCTAACATTCTGGGTCTAATGGGTCAATCTATGATGTCATAAGTAATGAATATTAAATACATACATACAATTACATTGTAATATATTCACCATATTAAACAAAAAAAAATATGAAAATAAAAATTACTTTTGTCGATGATGAAAATGGAATACATGATTTAAAATCAACCAAAAAAGCAAAATGGTTTTTCAATCCAAGTGGTGGGTTAGTGATTAAACTATCGATGTCAAATGGATGTTATTATTAAATAATAAAATACATAAAATTCTAGAAAATGTAGAAATTTGTTAATAATTTTGGGTACATTCTATAATATTTTATATTAATCATATAAAAAAGTGTGATTAATTAGAATTATTTTCACTAATGTTAGAAGTGGGATAAAAATTAGGATAAAAAATGAAGAGAATTAATATCTAACACATGACCCGACTAACCATGTCAAATGGTTCAATAATTTAATTAGCTAGGTTATCATAGGCAAGTGGTTTGGTAGGGACAAAAACATATCAGATCAATATATTCAAATTTGATCAGATCCAAAGATTCGATCGGATCTCATAAATATTGATTTTAATCAGAATCCGATCAAGATGTCAGATATTCAAATCTGATGCAATCCAATTTAATCTTTTAAAAAAGTAATAAATTATTAAAAGAAAAAGGAAAATATAATAGTTAAAATAAAAAACAAAAAATATAAGTTTTTTTCAACTATTTCCATCATATAAAAAGTTTACAAAAATGTAATATAAATAACATATTTATAAATAAATAATAAATAACGTATATATTATATATAAATAATATAAATACTATATATATAAATAATTGATTTGACCACAATATTAAAAACCAATGTTCAAACAATATATTAGAATTGCATTTTCTCTTGGTAAATAAGTAATTTTTATTATCTCATAAATTAAATAATAAAAAATAAAAATATAGATTTTTTTATAAATTTTATAAAAAAATTTGAGCATGCATTAATATTATATATTCTTCATATTAAACAAAAATA